TGATGAGTTCTTCGATTGCCTGCTTGAGAGCTCGGCACTCATCGGTGTAATGCTCGTTATCCCGATGGAAGTGACAGTACTTTTTATTATTTCTGGCTAACGTGGTAGTTTTCATGGGCTCAAGCTCTCCGAGAAGGTTGGCTTTTTCTGATTTATCAAGAATAGCCGACACAGATGCATTCAGAGACGTATATTGGTCTCTGTCGCGATCGCAACGAGGGACGAGAGCATAGGACTTCTTGGGCTCATAACGGGGTTTCTTTCCTTTGCACTGGTCATCAGCGGCCCCTCTATGATCAGCTCTTCTACTTTCCCCTCGACCTGATGTACTGCCTGAAATACCAGGGTCGCGACGACGAAGCGCCGCCAATGAATTTTCAATCCAGAGGTACTTCTCCGCAAGGTTATAGAATCGGGTGAGGGAAACATCGTCCTCAGCCTGTAATTCTTTCCATAGATCGGTTTGTGGACGAACTCCTGCTATGATGAGAGTTCGAACAGACTCTTCGGGAGTATGAGCCACCTTGTTGAGTTCTCTGTGGAAACGGTCGATGTAGGACTGGAGGGATTCATCCCTTTCTTGCCTTATATTACTAAGGTAGCTCAAAGGCATCGTGAACTTTCTGTTCACTTGAAAATGCCTTAGGAACGTCGCGCTCATCTAAGACCATGAACTGATCGATCCCGCTGGGAGCGACCTGAACCACCATTTAGCATGAGAGGTTAAAGTCACTACCAAACAACGGCATTTTGCTAGATCTGAGCCTGGTGAAGCTCCATCAGGTCGTTAAATTCATATAAATGATCATGCGGATCAGAATTTTCATCAAACGCCCGCATGTCGGGCATCCTGAATCTTGATGGGAGTGAAGCGGCTAGCACTTCGGGAGAAAAGGGGGACGCAGACGCGACCTGCCCTTACTCGTTTTGCTGAGCTCTTAGTCGGTCTAGAGCTCGTTGTAGCTCCTCAATTTGTGGCAATAGAGCCACTTAGGGATTGCTTTCACCCATGCGAGTTTGACCCTCGTGATTACGGTTGAGGAAAGTCCAGAGGTCGGGTTCCTCTTTGTCTCGACCGACGGTTTTGGCCACTCTCCACACATGCTGGCTAGAGCCGTGTGATGGCGATGAATGGTGCGGGGTATTTTCACAACCTTCGCGGGGGTAAGAACCGCCTCGCGAAGTGTGGGACTCTCTCGCACGGTGACGATCAAGATCGTCTTGCCGGCGGTGATAAGAATCACCCCGCCCAACACTTTTATGGGGGTGTACTTGCAACGTGACATGGGACAACTCGGGCTGCGTCTTTTCACCGAGTCTCAATGAGACTGGTATTCTGCTCGGGACGCGGTCAGAGTTCACTGGCCCTTTGGAGCCCGTATGCCACTTTTTTGCCACTTGCTTACCCTTTCATCAACGCGCTGCAGTGCTCGCGGCACGGACTATTTCCCTCTGTCGCGCTGGCAGTTGCACCGCCCCAGCTGATTTGGTTGGCACGCTTTGGTCCAAACTGTCTAACCTTCAGTTGACCGTCTGGAGAGTATTGTCGAACCTCTCCAGGTAGCTTCTAATGGTCGAGTCAAGTTGTGAACTTGATGGGATATCCCCTACGGCATTTTGCGGAACTGAAGGTATTTTGGAAGAGGTGTCCCCCTGGACTTGGGGGATCCCCTTAGCACCGTGGTTGGTTCGCTCAAGTTTAGGTTGGCGGGCCATTTGCTGTTATAAGACCGGTAAGTTAGAGATTCTCCTGATGAAGGATGAACACTAAATCAGGCCCTCCTTCTAGTGCCAAACTGTTGATGCGTCATTTTGACACCAACAAAACGCATGTGTGAAATGTTGAGCTGACCCAGAAGACACACGTGAATATAAGGAAATATAAGAGTAACTGCAATGGGGATAACTTTTAAAGTGGTTCGAATGCTAAGGTAGCAAGTCCTACGTCCACTGATGTTTATATTAATGATAAGGGTCAGGTCGCGTTAGCAGACTGACTTATAAATGATAGTATAAGAGAGAGAGAGAGAGAGAGAGAGAGAGGAAGGGTAGCTAATCAAGAGTAAAAAATGAGCAAATCCCTTGAATGGGAGAGGAGTCCTCTACTTATAGTGGGATGCATTGAACTAATGATTACTGAATCTGTGAGTTGGTGGGATTAAGTGTACAAATCATTCTTTATGTCACATTGCCCACCTTCTAGAGTGATTTACACGATTTGGAGCAGGGGTTGGACACGTGGGATCACCACAGCTTCTGGCTGGTCTGGTGCGCACCTACTGTTCTGACAGAAGTAGGCTGCCCCTTTTCTCACGTGACTCAGCTGTGGGTGTACCCATGCTCTGACTTTTGCACACTAACTGGACCTTACGTTAGCCCTATATTTTTCAGGCATAACAATTTCCATGATGATTTATACGTTTATCAACATGCCTTTTTAAAGTACTAGCACCATTACTCGCATCAGTTTTATAAATATTTCTACAATACTTGCATCCTGCTTTCTTCACTTGAACCTCATTTTCTGTCTCGTAAACCTTTACGAAATGTATCCAAACGTCTGATGTATGTCTGTTGTCAGTTCTGATAGTTGCAGTTGATGAACCTGCTTCTACTTTAAATGGAGTTGGACAAGGACGATGATTACGAGAAGGACCTCTAGAACCACTGGGAGCTATAGCAACACGGAGAGGAAGGGGGAAAATATTATTAGGTGTATCAGATTCTAAGAATGGGAAAGCAGGACTGTTTGAATCTACTACGTTTATGTTAGTAAATTTAGGGGGACTAGGACAATTTTCTTCATCATCGAAATTGATGGTGGGATGGAAATATCCATCCATTCTAGTTATATATATAAAGATATAAAAGAATTAAAGAAGGAGAATTGGAATTTGGAAATATGAATTGAAAATTGCAAAAAGTAATAAAAATTAAAATGAGAGCAAATTGACAACTGAGATTTGAGAGATTTTTAGAGCAAGAGCACATAAAGCAATTGAAGAAAATGAGAGAATTTTGGATGTGAGGAAATATGAGAAGTTTATGCCCTATAGATAGAGAAAAATGGGAAAAGAAAATGACCAAAAAGACCCCTCCAATTGCTATATAATGACTATATTTGAAGGGTAAAATGGGTTTTTGAACAAAAAAATTAAATTTTTTTTTTTTTTTGTTGCCAACCCTTCGAGTTGGCGACTAGCAGCCCAATTGCCAACCTGACGGGCCTGACGAGTTTTAAAAAAAAATTAACAACTCGTCGGGCCTGCCTACGCAGGTCCAACCTGCCCGATTGGGAATACTCGGGCTGGGCTGAGCCCGACCTACCCTTAAGCCAGGCTAGGTTGGGGTTGGCCCACCTAACTTGACCTATTTTTTCCACCTCTACTCACAACCCCAATGTGACAACTTGTAATTGATTAGCTCATAATATGTCTCATTTGATAGATTGTGGCTAGCCAATTACGAGTTGCCACGTCGAGGTTATGAGAGAAAATTCATGAGATTACTCTATTTTTAAATGTTTATTTAAAGCTTGTCTCATAATCACGGAAAGAGATTAATTTGTTCGATTATTTAAACAAATAAAATGTTATATTGGTGTTTCAATTTCACTTGGCCTCATATTTATATTGTCATATACACATGCAAAATACTATTCTATGATTATGGCCTCATTTGCAAAATACACACAAGAAAAATTCTATTAATATTTTTCGCTGCACCAAACAACCATTGGGCTGTAAATGATGCTTCAGCTGGTTGGCTCTTTATGATTCCGAGGAGTTGCCAGTTAGAAGGCCCAATGAGAGGCAATCCCACCAGGCCAGCCCAGTTTTACTATATTATATTTGCTGGATCGGTACTTCAAGTGCTGATTTTTTTGGTCATTTAAAAAAAAAGGGGGGAAAAAATCTAGGTGGCATAACTTAGTGTTGGTCAGATTCTCGTATATATTTGCTATTCGGATAAAATCAAATCTACCTTTATATGTTTTGATTATACTATGTTTTATCTGTTTCTGTAATGGAAAATTCATTAAGTTAGTGTAAGAACATTCTCAATGAGATTATTATTATTATTACTAGAAATGGGATGTAATACACAGAGTGGAAAAAAAATACAATTAAAAGAAGGCTTGAATTATTTCACTCCCTGGAAACTAAAACTACTTGTTTCCAAACATTTTCCGAACCTGCAAGAGCAGCAGGAGCATTTTCAAGACCTTCAGTAATGTGTTCAAGATAAACGATCTTCCCTTCTCGGATCTTAGGCAGCACATCATCTAAAAACTCTGAGTATTGAGGAAAATAATCGAAGACTACAAATCCTTGCATACGAATCCGCTTATGAATAATTATCCTCAAATTCTGTACACCTTCAGGCTCTTCAAGATTGTGCTCTGCGCTCATTCCACACACCGCGATTCGACCATTAAGTCTCATGTTTAGAAGCACTGCATCGAGCATTTTTCCCCCCACGTTTTCGAAGTAAACGTCAATGCCTTCAGGAAAGCACCTGGAAAAAAAAAATTGGAAGTTTCTGGTTATTTTCCTTCTTGTTACAATTTTTTCAGTTTGTGGGGGCAATGGCCCCTGCTTCTATCTCCTATGTTCCTGAAACTTACCTTTTCAAAGCTGCATCCAAGTCTTTCTCCTCCTTATAGTTGAAAGCATCATCAAATCCCAACTTGTTCTTCAAAATTTCAACCTAAAAGTACTTGTAAGAGAAAAGATTAATTAGGGATAACAGGGACTACAGCATTATAAACTGAATCTCAGGCATATTCACAAGCAATGTGACATGTAACAATGAGGTATTTCAGGAGAAATCGGCTCACCTTTTCTTTACTTCCGGCACTGCCAACAACGTAGCAGCCCAATAACTTTGCAAATTGCCCAACAAGCTGACCAACAGCGCCTGATGCTCCTGAAATGTAGACATATTCTCCTTTCTTAGGAGCAGCTACTTTATGGAGACCAACCCAAGCAGTCATTCCAGGCATACCTATGCACAAAACGAAATAAAAAGAACAAACAATTTGCTATCAATTCATATTACTTGTTTCCCCTTTAATTGTCAAGTTATTCCAAATAGAAAATCCTGAGATCATCAACAGAGGGAAAAACTCATCAAGAATTCCAGTATAGTAGGACAAAGGAACATCAGCATGATGGATTTTGAAGAAGCTTTCAGGATTCTTAATCACACTGTATTCTTCCCATCCAACTATTCCCCAAACTAGATCCCCTTTCTGAAATTCCGGACGCCCTGAATCCACAACTTTTGCCACTCCAAACCCATCCATTGCCTACATTTTTACGCCATCAACTTAAATTAGAGAGCTTTCATGTACACAAAGTAAACAAAACAAAAGAAAACCCTTCATCAAATGTCTTTTTAAGTTTTCGAATCCTGTAATTACTTAACATGATATCAGAACTAAAGTAACGCTTACAGAGCCAGGCGTGAAGGAAGAGAAATCAGGATGTTCAAACTTCTTCATGCGGATTTTCACATAAGGTTCAACAGACAAGTAAAGATTCTTCACAACAAGACCATTTGAGCCTTCCTCTACTTTCAAAGATATAGAACTTGTATTCACCGCCATGTCAGATTCTTTCGGAGCTCCATTGACGAGTTGCTTCAATATCACTTGCTTGTTGTCAATCACTTCTCCTCCACCTGCCATTATTGCTTGTTTTTCTTTGCTTTGCTTTAATTTTTCACTACTCAAATCTGTAATGTTTTTTTTTTTTTTTTTGTTTTTGTCCCTCTGTGTATTGATTGCGTATTTATAATTGCATGATATATTTTTTTGTGTCGTTTTCGTTTTGTATTCTTGTTTAAATTCATGTCATTCGAGTCAGCACTGACGAATTTATGGGTTTTTGTTTACTTTTCCTATTTGATGATAACCATCCTGGCTTGTGGAAAACAGAGCCGGTTCAACCCTCTGCAACTAAGGAAATTGTCCAGGACCCCATATTGAATGAAAGCGTCACCATATAATTAAAATATATATTATATTATTGTGCTTTAATATTGATTTTTATAAGAATTGTTTGGGTAAAATTACATATGGGAATCTGCCATTAGAGAAAGTGGGTGGTTGATAAATGATAATGACTAGAAAAGGGATTTGTTATTTCATTATAATAATAAGCCGCCATAACAATGTCATAGGTTAATATTATTGTCTTTTATTATACCAGTCAAATTCTAACTAATCTTTATCATTTTATTGATTAAATTCATTTTTATTTTGGGTTTTGAAAGGATAAGAATATTATTGATAACAATCTTACTATAGTTTTAACTAATTTCCAGCTTCTAATATTATTTTTTATTGTAATGTTTATTCCCAAAGGATATTATTGTCATTTTCTCTGTATTATTTATTAAATTTATTTTTATAATTAATTTAAACCAAACTTCATTAGTCTATTTATTCTAAAACTTAGTGTGGGCTTTCGACAAAGCTGATTACAAGCCCATGTTTAAGGCCCAATTAAAGGGCACCACTACCAGGCCATCCCATTTTAACTATATTACATTTGGAAGATTGATACTTCAAGTTTTGATTTATTTTCCTATTTTAATTAGAAAAAATAAAAGATAAAAATTACGGTGAAATACATTAGTATATGCAAGAATACATATATAACAGTCCAGACCAAATTAAGTAGATATCATGTGTGATATTTCATAGCACTTGGATAGAAGAGTAAAATGTTTGTTAGATATTATATGAGTTTTTAAACTGTAAAAACGTGTTTGGGGTTGAATCCCAAAAGCAAAATCCTGAGAACAAAAATCTAAAGCGGATAATATCTTAGCAACTTTGATTAATTTCCAAATACTATAAATGGGTGAGTATGAAACAAATTAAAAATTACAAACTATAGATAATACTACCAATGTGTAAGTAAAAAATAAATGGTACGTGATCTTTTAACTTAAAATTTTATTTAAATTGGGAAACAAATCCCGATAAATAAAATTTTAAGTTAAAATTACCTTTTCAAAGCTGCATCCAAGTCTTGCTCCTCTTTGTAGTTGAAAGCGTCATCAAATCCGACCTTGTTCTTCAAATTTTCAACCTTAAGTATTATAGAGTGTCAAAAGCATTAGTTAAGCTGAATTATTGCAAAGTAATTGAATGCTTAACTGCAACAAACCAGATAACTCTGGGTAGGAACGAAGCCACTAAGGGCTCAATGACCTTGGAGAAGTCAGTGAATCCACTTCTATTTTGTATTTGTAACAAAAAATAAATAAAAATAAACCCCTTTCTTGTGTTAAGGTAGTTATGCCATTATGGCGACTTTTGACAGCCTTCGGTAGCGGTCGATGGCGACTGGTGGTGGTGGCCAGTTCTAGGTATAATGACATTTTTATAAATAATGACAATAACAAGTGCAATGTCGTTTGGAAAATTTAAAAAGTGAGGACAAAAGGGTCTACATAAGTGAATTGAGTGTTTTGTAAATCTTAACAAATAAAAGGCTAATTTGGACTAAATGCTCAACTATTTAGGGGCAATATGGGACACAAAATTGGATTACCTTGGGTAAGTTTTAATAACAGCCCCCCGCCCCCGCAAGGTAATAATATTCTCGACAATCTCCCCCCAAAATGCCATTGTTTGTCATAAAAGATTCCGAGAATATTTTTTTACAAATCAACCAAATACTATCATCTGCTCAATTTAAAAAACATTACCCCAGTTATATAATATTAACCTCATCCAATCGGGCCCTAAAGATAATTGCATACCCAAAAAGTTTTAAAACGAAAATTACCCATCAACCGTTAAGATCTATTAGATAGTTTTCCACCCTACTGTTAAGATCTATAAGTAAAATATTTTTAAAGAAGGATAGGATTGTAATTTTCCATGCAGCCAAAAATGGCTGGAAGAAATGGTGGCTGGCGGTAGGGAAAATATCAAGAAAAAAACCGAATCAATCAACAAAGAATCCGACTGGACCTCCACCAGCTCCAAACCTGCCACTAGAACCATCATTGAAAAAAAAAATGGCTTTCTCAAAAATCATCAAATTGGTGAACAAAATTAACCCAGCCGTGGCGATAGGACGTGAGTCTCGACTGGCGGATTACCAAGCGTCATGGTTGGTGGGGTTTTGTAGAGTGAAGGTTAGTGGTTCGAATGGTGGTGTTTGGTTGAAATTTGGTTGCCATTTGTCATCGGAATTTGGCTTAGTACAACAAAACCTTAACTTTGCAATTGTTGGCCAACAGTGGAAGGAGAGGCTTGGAATCTTTGGGGGGTTTGGTCAATGGAGGTTAGGGAAGCTAGTGGAAGGGTCGGGGAAGTCCAACAATGCCAGATTTCAACTAGATCGACCAAAGACAAGGGCGCATACGATTGTGAAGATTCGCGAAAAGGGACAAATTTGGCCAAAAAAAGGATCAATGAGGCAAGAGGGTTGTGTAAACGGGCTTGGGGTGATGGATTCCATCGGTTTTGGCTAGATTTAGCGCAATCGGTCGGTATTGAAGAGTGAGTTGAGAGAAAGCCAAATTTTTTTTTTTCCAGTTATGGTGGCAGGTTTGGAGCTAGTATAGGTCCAACCAGATTCTTTGTTGATTGTTTGGGTTTTTTTCTTACTATTTTCCCTACCACCGACCACCATTTCTTCCGGCCATTTTCGGCTGCATGAAAAATTACCATCCTATCCTTCTTTAAATAGATTTTACTTACAGATCTTAACGGTAGGATGGGAAACTGTCTAATAGATCTTAATAGTTGGTAGGTAATTGTCATTTTAAAACTTTTTGGGTATGAAATAGCTTTAGGGTAAACTTTAGATGGGAAGAAGTCATTCGGCCTTCAAAAACAAAAGATTATATCGTATTTAAATTTCATGTCAAACAAGCCTAAGACAAGCCCAAGTGGACAAGGAGAGTGTTGCCTGGTTGACCCAGTTTGCATTAAAATTAAATAAGGCCCACTAAACAAAACAGACAAAGGAATCAAAACGTTTATTAAGAGATGGGTTTTATCATCCACTATTTGTCCTCATTTAACAAATTAACCGTCTGTTTCTTCACTTAACATGCACAAGGACCCTTTCTACTTCTTTTCTGCAAATTAAATTTCAAATCATTTTTATTTCTCTTTTCCTCATCCTTATCTCACTCCACCTAAACCTTAAATCCAATTATCACTACCTATTTATATAATCCTAAGAAATTGAACCTATTTATTTGTTTGTTATATAATATTAGATGCAATACTTATTAAATATATAATGCTATTATGTGTTATTAAACGATCATTTTGTTGTCAACAACTCAAGTGGTATTGAAAATATTTTATTAGTTTTGTATTCTCATAATACAAAAAAATTATATTCTATACTATATTGCATGTTGTTATAATATTATGATAAATATTAAATTATTATTTTTTTAATTTTCATCTTATAGTTTGTCCATTATTATAAGTTTTACATATTCCAATGTTAATATATATGGTGTGACATTCATTATTTTCAAATATTAAAGAAAAAATCTCCATGAAATGAAAAATATTAAAATAAAAAATTATCCTTTAAATGAAACAAAAAATGAAAATAAAAAACCTTATGTTATGAAACCAAAAAAAAAAAAAAACAAAACAAAACAAAAAAAACAAAAATGGTCATATAAATTGGGCCTGGGTGAGCCCAACAATGAGGATATTGGGCTTTTCTTTTTTCAGCGAGCAAACCCAAATTGAAACAACTCTCTGCGTTTCTTTCTCTGCCTTGAGAGATTCAACTCGGCTGGTTTATCACTGAAGCAACTTATTTATTATCAGCATTAATAAATGTAAATCTTTAATTCGCTAATTAATCTCCTTATTTACATTGTCGTCTTCATTTACATATAAATCTCGTCATTTATTTTAACAAAAATAAATTAAAAATGATGTCGCCAAAGCCACTATCTGAAGATCGAGGATCTCCTCATTTCAGGTAATAACATCGAATCTCAAATTTTTCATTTTTCTTGTCGTTTTGTTCTTCATTGCCTGCGTTTTTGGAAAACCCTAATGCACTTAAGAAAATTTTGAATGTAATAGTTATGGTTGTTTTTAGGTTCAGCTGATATGGTTGTTTTTAGGTTCAGCTGACTTTGTAGACGTTAGTCAAATAGCATGCACTATCAAAATCCTAATTTAACTTTCTTTTATTTTCCTGCATTGTCTTGGAAAACAAACAGGGCGTAACTGAGAACAAAAGTACCCTACAGAAAGGTTTTTGTTAGCAAAGTTGTTTAATTAGGCTGATGCGAAAAAGAAAAAAAGATAAATATAGCAAAAATGTTAAAATCTCAGATTGTTATTTACTTAGCTTGCAGTTAGTAACTTATTAAGTAAATATGGGAATGGAATCGGAAATAGAATTTTGAAATTTTGCTATATAGGCCTCAGTTGAGTGAAAATTGTAATGCTGTTTTTCTGATTTGGTGAGATTGTGCGTACAAATAAAACTCTGAGGCGTTAGTTGAGTGATTAGGCATTCGGAATTCGAATTAGCTGGCTAAAAGCCACAAGTCTTTTACTTCTCAAAGATTGTTAAGTTCAACCTGGGGCCTCACTCGGAATTCGAGTTAGCTGAGTAGTGTTGTTTGATTTATGCGTTAGTAAAAAGTGAAAATTGTTTGCAGATAGTTGACATTTCAACTACTGCTTGAAAAAAGTTTCAGTACTGCCTCTTCTGTCCAGTACTCGTGCTGTTGGTGATCAT